TCCATCCATCCATCCCATAGGCATCTTTACAGTCAGTTCCAACATGTTCGAATTCAACGTCCTCCCGTTTGGGCTAGCTACTGCCCCACGGATTTTCACCAAATGTATGGTCCCAGTGTGTGCACACCTGCGGCTTCTGGTATTCAAGTGTACCCATACCTGGATGACTGGCTGATAGTTTCCCCGTTCTGGAAGAGCTTTCTTTCAGCTTTGAGAATAACTTGTGACCTTCTGGACAATTTAGGACTGTGCATTAACCATGAGAAATCATGCCTTATTCCCTGACAGGTCATTCATTTCATTGGAGCGCATCTCAGCTCCACCCTAGCAAGAGCTTTTCTTCCATTGAGCCAACGGAACAATCTGTGCTACTGGATCTATCGAATCCAAATGGACAGGACTGTTCCAGCTCTTTTGATCCAGAAGCTCCTTGGTCACATGGCCACTTCAGTTGCCACAGTTCCCCACGCCAGGCTTCGAATGAGACCGCTTCAATTATTTCTCAACAAAATGTTTCAGCCTCAACAAGACTTGCCCAATCGACCTCTCCATCTTCCAACTTCTGTCCTCCGGACTATATCATGGTGGGCTGTTCCACACAATTTGAACGTGGGTGTTCCATTCCGTCCACCACATCCAACCCTGACCCTCTATACCGACGCATCCCTGATTGGGTGGGGAGCCTTGTGTGCCGGACTTCGAACGCAGGGCACCTGGGATCGACAAGAATCTACCAGGCACATCAATTACCTCGAACTCCTGACGATCTTCAAAGCCCTTCACTCTTTTGAGGACATTGTCCAGCAACATGTGGTGTAGGTTGCATCCGACAACGTTGTCACTATATTTTATGTAAACAAGCAGGGCAGCACAAAATCCGCTTCCCTGGCCCATCTGGTGATGCAACTGTGGGACTGGTGCATCCCCAGGACACAACTCTCCTGGCAGTCCACCTGGCCGGTACCGACAACGAGGAGGCCGATATCTTGAGCAGACAAATGTCAACGACCCACGAATGGGAACTAGTTCGTCCAACTTGCAGCCAACTTTTCCTCCAATGGGGCTGCCCGGACATAGATCTGTTTGCTACTCACAAGAACAGGGTATGCAGCACGTACTGCTCTCGTGCCGGCATCGGTCAGGGTTCGACAGGAGATGCCCTGATGATCCCTTGGTCCAACACACTCTTCTACGCCTTCCCTCCAATTGCACTCATAACAAAAGTTGTTTCCAAGATTGTCCACGACAGCACTACGGGGATTCTGATCATGCCTTGGTGGTCCCGTCAACCTTGGTTTTCCACTCTCTTCTGGCTATCCGGCAACACCTTTCTCCGCCTACTGCTAATACCACATTTGATAACCCAGCAAGACAGAGCTGTTCGCCACCCAGACCTCACCTCACTAAATCTTACAGCCTGGCGAATTCGATGACTCACAATACCGATTCTGTACCAATAGTACCAAGTTCTGCTGTATTTGCCAACAATGGTCCCGATACAACACCCATCCCCTCAGGTCCATTAGACCATACATCGAATCTGAGCATTCTCCATCCCAACATCCAGCATATTCTCCAATCTGCATTAAGACCGTCAACACAAAGATCTTATGTGGTGAAATGGAATCGGTTCTCCTCCTTTGCAGAATCCAAATCGTTTACCGCTTCCTCAGCCTCTGTTGAGAACATCCTAGTTTCTTCTGGCACTACATCAGTCGGGACTTAAACCTTCCTCTGTCAAGGTTTATACAGCAGCTGTCTCCCATACCGTGGTCCAGTGCAAGGCTCCTCGGTGTTTTCCCAATCCCTTATTCGAAGATTCATCAAAGGGCTGCAGAATCTCCATCCACCAGTTCATCCTGTCATGCCCACTTGGAGCCTCTCAGTTGTCCTTCAAGCACTCACCAGAGCCCCCCTCAAACCTCTGGCAACTACCGATTTACGTCTCCTGTCCTGGAAGACTGCCTTCCTCGTGGGTGTCACTTCAGCTAGAAGGGCTAGTGAACTTTGCGCACTTAGGGTAGACCCTCCCTATCTGAACTTTCATAAAGATAAAGCTGTTCTCCGCACCGATTCGACATTCTTGCCTAAAGTTGTTACACCATTCCATATCAATCAGAACATTATAGTGCCTGCCTTTTTTCCATCACTCTCTACTCCAACTGAGCAATCATTACATTACCTCGATGTTCACCGTTGCCTTGCTTTTTATAGATCGCGTACGGAATCTCTCCGCAAATCTAACCGTCTCTTCGTGAAATATTCGGCCCATGACAAAGGTTCCTCCGTGAGCTCGCAGAGGCTTTCAAAATGGGTGGTACAGACAATTGAGTTGGCGTACCAACTTGCCAAGATTGATTTACCTTTTATGCCCAGAAGGCATTCTACAAGAGCGATAGCAGCTTCCTCCACCTTTGCTGCTGGGATTCCTATTCAAGACATCTGCAAAGCTGCGACATGGACTACTCCTTGCACCTTTGCCAAGCATTACCGCCTTGATGTCCGTGCCAGGCAGGACTGTTCCTTTGGTCGGGCAGTCCTTTCCTCTGTTCTTCAATGACAACATCATCCGCCTCTGGGTCTGGTAAGCTTGTTAATCACCCATATATGTGATGCACAGAGGCCATGACGAAGAAAGGCAGGTTGCTTACCTGTAACTGTCATTCTTCGAGTAGCCATCTGTGCATTCACACAACCCACCCACTGGCCCTGCTCAGTGTCAGTGAATGGGTTCTGTCTTCAGCACCATGTTTCTTAGTATTCGTGGTCCTATTCTACCTTGTTGTAGCATCTCTCGCTTCCGTGAGGGGGTGAACGTCCAGTCTCCAGTCGACTGGGAAAATGGTGGACACTCCACTCCATTTATATCGTTAAGGGGGAGGGGAGCAGAGTTTTCCCGCCAAAAACCGTTAAGCTTCGCAATCTTTCCAGTCATAGGCACTGCGGCGCAGCACCCATATGTGTGAATGCACAGATGGCCACTAGAAGAACGACAGTTACAGGTAAGCAACCTGCCTTTATCCTGATTAGTGTTAACTTTCGTCTCACAACTATGCTTATTAATATAGCTCAAAATCCTCAGCGAGAATATCTTATCCAGCCATCACTTCCCTTATATGTGAGATTTTTTCATTCTATGGATGATTCCAAGCATGGTTTTTATAGTGTCACCACTCTGCCTCACGCACGGAAGTTTGCAAAGGTCCAGATTTAGCCATCTACCCCTCCTACCATTCCTGTATTGCCAGGTGCCATTCATACCACTCGTGCATTTTTGGTCCACCTTCAGCTTTTTCCCCCGTTTGTCCTTACCACAGAAAAGCCATTATGGGGTGGGGGAGAGATGGAATAGCTTCATGAGGACTACTACCTAGTAGCACTGTATGTCCACCATCTAGAAAAATGTTAAGCTTATTCTTTCCTGCACCGACTGCAACAAAGAATCGGACCTGTAGCTAAAAACAGCAATGAGTGTCTTCATCCTGAACTAGCTAAGTCTATACACTAAGATTTGATAATAAAATGCTTTGCTACAGTATAACATTCCATTAAAGAGCTTGCTCCTTAGGGGAGTCACCCCCACTTCCCCTGTACTTGTAACACTGACTTGTTAGTTTGATACTGTTAGCTGCTTCGAGATTCCTACAAGCCTATTGAGAGGCATATAAATCTGAATAAAAAATAAAATCATACCTAAGAGCTATATATTAAAAACTGGATCTCTTGATTTACTTTATAAACAAGAAATCCAGCTCTTCAAACCTGGACTCAGAAATCATTCATGACCTGATTAAGGAAAAAAGGACCTGAAGGCATACAATACTGTGTAATGGCATAAACTTAGATTTCAATCGTATGCACAGGATGGGGGAGCAGATGCTGAGAGTTGCAGGACATTTTTTTCCGTCAAACAATGACCTTAATTAACGATGCTAAAATCTAGCTACCAGATGGAATTGGGTCAGATGTTTGTTTGCACGGTTGTTACAGCATCCATCTCCAAGCTGGTGTCTTAGAATTTGTGCATGACTGCATGACTACTCAACTGGAGGGCATGAAATTGGGGATAACTTTTCAGTGCAATGAAGTTTATGTTAAATTTTATTTGTCCAGGAAGAGAGATTTGCTGCTTATAAGCAAATGAACTATCTTCTTATATGGCCAGAGTACTTTCATTTTGGTAACCTGCTTCCAGAGTTGCACAAATGAGAGATGGTATTGGAATCCTGTTAACAAGTAACAATCTAGTCTTATTTAGGATACAATCCCAAGGATCTTTAGACAGAAAACGTCATATGCATGTTTATAGTTTTATTTAAAGTTTTTCTATCCTGCCCTATTACAAAAAGTTGCAGTACAGTAGTACAATTTAAAAAGCACAGCATCACATCCTCAATAAAACTCCAATTAAAATGGCAATTAAGCCTTAAAATACTGGGAAAATAAGGAAGTTTCGGCTTGGTGCAGGAAATTAATAGAGTGTTGGTGCTGGCCGTACCTCTCTGGGGAGTGTATTCCATGTCTAATGTTTAGACATTAAATAAAATGTACAACTCCCAGGATCTGCCAGCCAGGCATGCTGGCTGAGGGATGCTGGGCCTCCTAAGGTCCCCCCTCCGCCTTAAAAAATTGCTAAAAAACAGCGGTACAAAGGTACAGTTAGACAGCCCTGCAAAGGGTAGCAAGTTAAAAAAAAAACTGGTGCCAAAATTCCCGCCGTTACACTCCGCAAGAGCGTCGTTCTTCTATGCCTCAGGACAAACAAAGCATCCATTTCCCAATAAACTGGGTGACAACCGGTTTGTGCTTTTAGGCAAGAAGCCACTTTAGTTCATGAAGCGGCAACCGGGGAACACACAGGACAGAACCGCGCATGCGCCCAACGCCAGAACAACCCGCGGGCGGGCTGCCCTGCGGCAACTTTCACGCGCCTCCGCGCGCGCCTGTGCAGTAAGGCGAGCGGGCAGCGTCCCCCCCTACGGCGGCGCCCAAGCGAGCCGCTGCAGCTGCATACGGGGGGGGGGGGGGGGGGGGCGGGGGGCGCGGACTCAGCCCGGCATCGTAGCAACGGGATTCCTCGTGAGTGGCAGCCATGACGCAGTCCGTAGTGATTCAGGGTGAGCACGCGAGTACTCTCTAACCTATCCCGGGATCCCGTTTCGCCAAGCCCCTTCCCATCTACAGCCGCTTGACCGCTGGTGCTTTTGTCTTTTTCCCTCCCCTTACAGTAGGCCAGTGCGGGAATCAGATAGGCTGCCGCTTCTGGGATCTAGCACTGCGGGAACACGCGGCCGTTAACAAGGTAATAAGACCCGCCTACTTTTCCTCGGGGAGGGTGCGCGTCAGCGCGCGCGTGCGCAGTAGAACGCTAACTGTTCGAATGGTTTTCCCACCACGCCCACCACTTGCGCCCGCTTTGTTTTGCGAAGCAGCGGCCGAGGGGAGGGAGTGAAGGCCGCGAGGCGGTTGGAGAGCGGCGCGTGCGCATTTTGTCCTTCACCGGCCTCGCTTGGCAGAGCCTCCCGAGGAACGGTTAAAATGGCTGCAACTTCAAAACTATCAGTCGCTGCTTTGCCCAGTGCTTTTAGAAATAACTTCCACCCCCATGTTCTGCTTTAAACGACCAGTCTTTGTAGAATAGTACAGAATGCGAAAGGACCGGGTGGAACTCTGAAGGCGGCCTGAACCGTCCTTGGCCGGCTTTGTCGCCATATCCCGCGGCTGCAGGTGCCTTCTTGAGCCACCAGGTGGCATCGCTGCCCTGCGGTTCTGCGGCCCTCCGCTGTTTGGTCCTTGCGATGGTGGCAGTCTTAGCTGGTATCGTATCGTTACTGCTGCACTCACCTACTCTAACGAGCCGAACAAATCTCCAGTTACACTCTTGACTTTTTATCAGTCGCTTTTTATTTTTTGTAGCCCAAATTCCGAATTTCCTCCTTTGTTGACTGACTAGTTGGTTGTTTTAACAAGCTTTTGGAATGATCTGCGGTATGTTTTTGTTTTACTACATGCACGAGTTGAACGCTTTGCCTAACAGGTTCCTGGGACGATATAAATTAGCGCCATTAGAACTTGACATTGAAAAGTAACAACTTTGTCCTTTACAGATTGTTACTTATACTGGGGTTCTTTAGCAGGTTGGGAAATTTCTGCAGTGTGATTTCAAGTACTTACGGTTTTGAAGTTTGTGTGTAGAATCATAAAATTAAAAGGGGCCAACCCCCTGATCTGCGTTAAACCATCCCTCTAAAAATGGGAATGTAGATTTAATCAGGCCGTAAGTGGGGGGGGGGTGTTACCCCAACCTAAGCGGCAAGCCCATTCATATCAAGAAGGAAAAAAATGAGGTTAAACTGTAGATCATGTTTGGGATGCTTGCACAGACTTCTTTGCATCTATATGGGTTGCCCAGATCTTGCAAGAGTCATTCGGAAGGTGTTAGAATCCAACATGCAACACTTTGCACAATGAACTGTCAACTCAAGCCATCTGTTAGAACAGAAAAGGTGCCGGTACAATATAATCTAGGACTTTTTGTTTGAAAGACTGTAAAGAGTTTGTGATCCAGTGTGTCTGAGTAGCTGGCATTTCTTTTGAATAGACAGGAGGTATCAACAGAGTGCATCTGACTAGTAGGAGGAGGACAAGTGCCACAATCTTCAGATATTCTATTTCCAGTTGGTGGGAGAGGGGTGTATATATGCTTACATGGTAACACTGACAGTATTCTGGGCAAGACAGAAGCCTTTGTAAGCTTCAGGGAATACCCAAAATATGCACAATCACAACCCCCCATGACATATTTTAACAGACACATACCCCAAAGAGAGAAAAAAAGTAATACATACATGTACTTATATGGGGGTGGGGGACAGGAAAGAGTGGGAAGGCTGAAGCAGGAAGGAAAGGGAAGGAGATTGGGAGCAGGGAGGCCAACGTGGAAAACAAATGCAGAGGTTTGAAAGGGGAAGTCTTTCTAAATATTAGCATGTGTAGAGAGTTTTATTTTTATGTAGTCATGCTAGAAGTCTAAGCACAAGTTTCACACCAGTGTTTACTTACAGAAGTCTTTATTTTGTAGAAAGGAATTTATGATGAAGCATTAAGCAGTTTCTTTAGAAATGTGACCTCTAGGTAAGTTTTCTTTTATGAAAAATCAAGTTATTAAACATGCATTTGTTTTAAAATTGTTTGGAGTCCATGGGGGAATATTACTGCATCAGACCTTGCACTACTCAGTCTAGTTAGCATCCTGTGCTGCCATGGTAAGATGAAGGCCTAGCATTCACTGCACATATTTATTGTTTGGTGTAGGTCCCAGTTACTACCATTTCTGTCAGCACAATCCTTTACCTGTGTACTCTGAAATAAGTCCTATTTAGTTCAATAGGGCTTGCACACAGGTAAGTAAGTTTAGAACTGTAACCTGTATTTCCTTCCCTTGGGGAGTATAAACGTGAAATGTCAATGGGTGCAGTCTGTGCTGGTGCCCAATCACGTCAACATCAGTATTGCATTATCAGTATATGGCCTATCATTATCTGTGGCTCAGGCCTGTAATCATTGAGCCTCAGTGCTTGGAATTCATTGTTTTGGAAAAGTGCTTACATTTTCAGTCTCAGTGATTTCACTGGTTGGAATAGCCCTGGTGTAGTGGTTAGTTGCTAATGCTGGGAACAATAGATGGCAAAAGAAGAAGGGGAAGGCAGAGAATGAGGTGGTTATCTAGTCACTGAAGCAGTTGGTATGAGCTTGAGTGGACTCCGTGGGATGGTGGAGGACAGGAAGGCCTGGAGGAATGTTGTCCATGGGGTCATGATGGGTCGGACACGACTTCGCAACTAACAACAAGAAGTGGTTAGTTGGTACCGGTATGTTCTCATCTTGACCTCACCAATTCAGATATTCATGCAAATTATTGCATGGCTTGCACAGTACAGCAGCAACAGCAACTTTGAGAATATCATCATTTTGCACTAGAAAATGTCTTCATTTTGCATTCTGCTCTAGCAAAATTGCAGAAATATTTCCTGAGATCCAGCTACATGCTGGGTACTTTAGTAGCCTTAGATGACTACAGATATTAAGAAGGTTAATTTTTTTCCTCCTTTTGATTCCATACCTGCAAAAGCCTTGCCAAGTTCTATGTGCTCAGCTTCTCTTCTTTATTGTGTCTATATCCCATCTTTGTACCCAAAATAGCACTCAAAGTGGCTGACAATGATACAGTAAAGATTAAAAATAAAATCTTAATTAAAATATACAATACAATGTATAAAGCACAAGTAAACATTAAAATATTAATTAGAATAACATGCAGTTTAGTGTAGTCCTTAAAGCAGTGATGGGGAACCTTTTAGAGACCGAATGCCCAAACTGCAACCCAAAACCCACTGATTTATCGCAAAGTGCCAACACTGCAATAAAACCTGAAAACTGAGGTTTTAGTTTAGAAAAAACAACTGACAGCCAGTCCAAGCAAATATATAAACTTGGCAGTGCACTGACCAGCCATGTGAAAGCTCAGATGAGTTGTGGCTAATGAGTCGCGGCTCGTGATGTCTTTGGCGCCGCTACTCCTTTCCGAGTATGTTTATAGCCGCTGTTATCCGATGCTCGGCTGCTGGGGCAATGCTGGGGCGACTTGGCCCACATGCTGACAGGGCACTGCATGCCCACTGTAGCACGCATCCCATAGGTTCGCCAGCACTGGCCTAACCCTACCCTGGTGCACTCCCCTAACCCTAGTGTAAGGGTAAAATAGCATTGGAAGGGGTGATATGAAAAAGCCTTACTTGAGTAGCTTTTTCTGCGTAGCTCATCATTTCTGCCCATTCTAAACACATTCCAACTATCAAAATCATGCCAGGGCACGTCATTTTTCTAACCCTAACCCTATCCTTATGCCTACCCCTACCCCTAATACAGGGCTAAAGTTCCACTGAAAATAGGACAATGTTGAAAAGCCGTCCTTGAACAGCTTTTTCTGCATGGCTCAACATTTCTGCCCATTCTAAACACATTCCAACTATCAAAATCATGCCAGGGCACGTCATTTTTCTAACCCTAACCCTATCCTTATGCCTACCCCTACCCCTAATACAGGGCTAAAGTTCCACTGAAAATAGGACAATGTTGAAAAGCCTTCCTTGAACAGCTTTTTCTGCACGGCTCAACATTTCTGCCCATTCTAAACACATGCCAACCATCAAACTCATGCCAGGACACTACATTTTTCTAATCCTACCCTGGTGCACACCCCTAACCATAATATTGGGTAAAAGTTCCATTGAAAAGAGGACGATTTTGAAAAAGCCTTCCTTGAGCAGCTTTTTCTGTGCAGCTCAACATTTCTGTCCAATGTAGACACATTCCAACCATCAAAACCATGCCAGGACACCTCATTTTTCTAACCCTAACCATACCCTGGGGCACAACCCTTACCCTAATGTAGGGTGAAAGTTCCATTGAAAAGAGGACGATTTTGAAAAAGCCTTCCTTGAGTAGCTTTTTCTCCACAGCTCATCATTTCTGCTCATTCTAAACACATTCCAACCATCAAAACCATGCCAGGACACCTCGTTTTTCTAACCCTAACCCAGTGATGGCGAACCTTTTAGAGACCGAGTGCCCAAACTGCAACCCAAAACCCACTTATTTATTGCAAAGTGCCAACACTGCAATAAAACCTGAAAACTGAGGTTTTAGTTTAGAAAAAGCAACTCACAGCCAGTCCAAGCAAATATATATATATATATATATATACACACATCTCTCTCTCTCTCTCTCTCTCTCTCTCTCTCTCTCTCTCTCTCTCTCTCCTTGGCAGCTCACTGACCAGCCATGCGAAAGCTCAGATGAGTCACAGCCAATGAGTTGCAGCTCGTGACATCATCGCCTGGCACCCGTATTCCTTTCCAAGCATGTGCATGGCCCCTATGTGTGCCATTATCCAATGCTCGGCTGCTGAGGCGACTTGGCTTGCGTGCCCACTGTGGCACGCATGCCATACTTTTGCCACCACTGTGTTAATGCATTTCCCTGGACACAGTAGTTCCAGATTCTCATTCCCCACTGACCATGAAGCTCGCTGAGTGCCTGAGCCAGTCACTGACTCTTGGCTTAACCTACCTCAAAGAGCTATTATGAGGATAAAATAATAGGATGCTAGCTTGAGTTCTTCATGAGAGGAGAAAAGGCTTGATATAAATGTAATCTAATGTAATAGTAATATACAAGTATGAGTAAGAGCAGTGATGCCTGCAAAGGCAGCTATCTTGATATGTATTCTTGTTATGTTTCCTTTTTTAAAAACAGTAGAGAGGAGAAAAGAATTATAAGATCCTGACCTCTTACGTATGATCCTTCTCTGTGATTCTCTTCATTAATTTGACTTCTGATTCTTTTAGGACAGATGGTGTTGGTGCTGATGTTTCTCGAGGAAAAATCTGTTCCTTAAAAGCACGTGTAAGGGGAAAATTAATCTTTGTCTCTCCTTCAGCTTTTTATGCCTCTGAAATTTTTCTTATGATTGTCATGTTTATTATAAACTTTATTTTATATTTCTCCATAGAAAATAGTATTTTTAGAAACAGAATATAAAGTTGGTGTTCAAAAGAGCAGGTTCTGCTTGGAGAAGGTCTCATTCAGTGACCAAAAACCTGCCCATTAGCACGACTAGCATTAAAGTTATTTTATATTGGTCTAAACTCCAGAAACCCAGGAAAGCAGAAGCTAAGTATGATACCTTTACTGATATGCCCTATGATTAATAATTATTTTGTACAAGGTCACAAATTGTTCTTTCTTCACCTTATTCTCCACCCATCCACACTTTTTCTTGGTCTTCCAGGTCCAAATCTAGATTGGAGGATGGAAAGCCTCAGGCCAGTAAAGTAGCCCACATTGTCCTGGTCCTCACAAAGCATTGAGCCTTACTGTGTTGCAGAATTGGGAACTGTGCATTTAGTGGTTACCACATAAGAAATTTCAACCCTAGAGTCCAGCTGTCATATCCATACTTCTAGAGTCTAGATTTAAAAAATAAATAACTTTTCTGTTCAGGAAAGGAGTAAGAGTGAAGGCTGTATTTAGTGACCTCCTTTTCACTGTTGGCACAGTGCTTTTGAAATGAAGAACAAATACCATTCTGTGATATGTTATTAACAATGATTGGGCAGTCCCATTGTATTTGAGGTACATTTAGCTACTGCTAAAAGTATTGTTGACTTAAAAGACGAGAAAGTGGTTTAGAGAGCATTTTGGATGAGAAAAGATTAAAAGTATATGTAGCGTTGTGAAAAGATTGAGTAGTTTTTTAGGGGGGAGGGTTGGCAAGAACATGTTTCTTCAGTATAAAACCAGTGTTTAATGTTTTGTGTTGCACATGTGCATTTAATGTTTGAGTTGTTTTAAATTAGGGTAGTTAAAATTATCCTCTATTAAATTTCATACCAAAGCATAAAAATTAGGCCACAATTTTCTGGAGTCAGCTTTGTTATTCAGTGACTGAGTAGGAAATCAAAGCAAAGAAAATCTCCATTATCTTTCATTGTATTGTATTTTGTGCATTTTGTATTTAAGGCAGGCATTCTGGGTGAGCGTAAATTCTTTTTGGTCTACCCCCTAAGGCTGTGCTGATTGACATGGAAGAGGGTGTAGTGAATGAAATTCTGCAGGGGCCACTGAGAGATGTCTTTGATAGCAAGCAGCTGATCACAGATGTTTCTGGCTCAGGGAACAACTGGTGAGAATGAATTCTGTTTCATAAATCTTCATAGAGAAGTTTGTTGCACAAATTAGATAGTAATTGAAAGTAGGACTCTTTATGTTTCTGTCTTTATACTATCTTTGGTCTATGAAATAAATGAGCATGCTAAGATGCCTATTTAGTTGGTATCTCCTTGGAAAAAAACTTCAGAGACACAAACTAGCAATTATCCTGCCAACATTTCATAAATACTGGTTTTTTTCCTTTTTAGCATTTTTGTATACTTCCATAAACAGGCATATTGTGTTACTGCTGATTTTTTAAAATTACAAATATTTGTACTCTGCCTTTCAGGATACAAATATTTCTCAGGCTGCTTACAAGTAACTTTAAAATACAGTCTAAAAAAGCACAGTGATTGGTATTATCTAACGAGCTATCAGGATACTTCTGACAGGACAGCTGATGTAAGATGGCCTGGGAGGGAGGGGCAGTCCAGCTGGAATAGGAGTGGGTGCCTGGCATTGTCTTTGCTTTCTGCCTTCACTGTCTTGGAATTCTGCCTACAAGACAGTTGGTAGTAGATGACCCTCTAGTGGGAGGGAAGTATCCATCATCTAGACAATCATCTGCTTCTGCTGCAGCAGCTTCAGTTCAAATGGAAATCTAATGAAAGATATGAACAGCTGACCATAGAGAAGAAAGAAAACAGATGGCTCGTTAAGCCAAAGAAATCCCAACTTCATAAAAATGCTTTTAAGTGGTTCTTTAATGAAAAGGAAAATTTTGGATAAAATTGATCAGATATTATACTACCAATGCACAAAGCAGTCCTAAGAACTTTCTAATAATTCCCGAAGTCACAAAAACAGGCAGGGGACTCCAGGAAATAGTACATAACAATTCCACAATATTGCAATTAACTAAACAGCATTCAATCATTGTTTTGGTACTGATAAGTATTTATTAATAAAATAAGGATCGGTTACCTGGTGGGACCACTCCCTCTTTCTCCCCCTCTGCATGTTTACAGATTTTATGTGCAAGTTTTGTGTCAACATACAACTAGTGAGAGTGTAGAAACACACAATTACCAGGTTAGCAATGCAAATTCACCCAAGCTTTAGTGTTACTTATCAAACTGTATTTCCTGAGGTTTTGTAGATCAAAGTATAAGCCAGCATTCATTTTTTGTCCAAGTCGTAAACAAAAATCATGGTTCAGACAGTTCTATGCAAATGCATTTTTCAGGTGCCAAGGAACTATGAACAAGTCCAGAGACACTGTGGAACCCACAGGGTAGAGAATAGACTTGCGTAATGCCTGAATTGGTTTGACTAAGCACAAGGAATTTCCCCAATCCAAATGACCTGAGGTTTATTTCCAAGATTTTACACCCTACCATTATATGGGCACCACAGTTCCCAGGCCACCTTTCAACAAAATTAAAATTACAAGATTAATTCATAAAGTTACATCTAATGTTGCGTGTCCACCAGCATAATGGAAACCACTTGCAGCAGGTCTTCTTCTCTGATCTTCTCTGATCTTTGCAGTCCCCTGATATTCCCCCTTAAGTTTGCCCCAGAGGATTTTGGGACCCCCCAAAGCTGCTTTGGGTGGATATGGGGGCTACAGAAGTGAAGAACTAAAGGATGATCTTTTGTGCAAGTGTGGGTACGGTCATACAATATTAGATTTAAGCCATACAATTTAATACAATACAATAAAACAATAACAAGCAGGTGAGCACGGCATATCAAACCAATTTAATAGGCATCAGTCCATGGAAGTTCAGTAGTTTGGCATATGGAATACCTGCTGGATAAAAATGTCTGAATTTTTGATAGCAGACCATCAAGAGGGAGAGGGGCTGTAGAACACCTACTGAAAGCTTCAAATAACTCCTTATATTTTTGGGGTTGGGCCTATTAACCTTCATTTTCTTGATCATTTAAACTTTTGGTTAAAAGCTTCTAGTCATTCACACTGTTTGGCTTTGTTTTAAATAATGTTTCAATGTAATCTGTTATCGTTTTTTTTTAAGAGGACAAAGGATGTCCTTAGACACAAAACTTCTGAGTAAGTCCCATACAGGCTAGTAGGCCTTTTCCCTTGCTAGTTTGGAAGAGGAAAATGGAGTTGGAGGATCAGCCATCAGGAGAAAGGTGTGGGGAAGTCTGTTTCTACCAGCCCAACTACATGTACCTCCATTGGATCCAAGCCATTATGAATAACTCAAAACTGTCAGAACTGAAGTACAGGGATTCACATTAAAAATATCATATTTTCAGGGCTGTGGGCCACAAAATGTATGGATGCCGGTACCAAGAGCATATTGTTGAAAAGCTGAGGAAGGCTGCAGAGCATTGTGACTGCCTCCAGTGCTTTTTTATCATTCATTCCATGGGAGGGGGTGAGTATTGCTGCAGCCCAGCAGCTGCAACCGTGAGAGGTAAATTGGAAGAAAACTTTAAAATATGAATGCAGTGATCTAAAATTACGAACATGTTAAAGACCTAAGTTGTTAAAATGGAAAACTTACTCTGACATGTAAGAGTTACTTTGAACAGGATAGACATTTTTTAATGGAATGTGGGCCTGCTATAAAAGTCATGCTTGTCTAATGCAAAAGTTGGCTGCATTATTTTTGTTCCTACCAGCATTGCCTTGAATCCTCGCATATATGTGTAGTGCTTATGAAGCCCAGAACAAGGTTAGAGATGAGAACCTCCCTTCCCATATATCATTTGCCAGAAGATTTATGAGAGGAAGCTAATTTGTCTCTGTCTTGCCCAAAACCAAGTGAAAAGCCACTTAGCACACTTGAGTTCTTTGTGCTGTGCAATGAACTCTGGACATGAAAGGAATCCTTTTTTTATTGTACAGTCACAGACCCAATAAAGAGAGGAATCTTTTACTTTCTCTGGACATGAAAGAAATCATTCACTTCATGTTGGGTCAGGGTGGTTGGATGCTTGAATAAAGTAGATAGTAGACCCCTCCTCTTATCAGAATACTATCTTTGGAAATGCAACTTTCAGGGAATAATCTATAGCATAACAGCATCTTATATACATGGTTTCAGTATGATTTACATGAGGAGAGAGTGACTCTTTCCTGTAGGATTCCCAACTTCAAACCTTATTCACCATAAGCTCATTAGGTGGCCTTAGGCAACTGATCATTCACTTCTATGACCTGTGAATTATAGTAGCCTACACTTGAGAGTTCCTTTGAGAACAAAATAGAAATGTACACATGCATTTATATAATCTCATTATTTCTTCAGTTTGAGAAAAACAGCATAGTCTACCATCAGGGCTGCACACAGGTTATATTTATTAACTCAGAACTATAAATTGGACAGTTCTTACTCATGTAGAACATTTCCTCTAAATCCAATAAGTTAGGAACAAGGTCTAGAAGCTGTTGAGGACATACTGTTTTCAAAGCTGGGTTCACTGCAAATTTGGACCACTGATGCCATTTGAGATGCATCTCATTGTTTCTCTCAGTCTGATTCTAGAATTTGAGGCTGCCTTTCTTTCCTGTTTAGTTTGTGGTTCGTTGCAGTTTTACAAAGTTCACAGGAAAAACCAGGGTGATACGATATTTAGATTTTTTTTCCTTTCAGCACTTCCCTTTCAAACTAGTAGTAAGCCAGCATCACAAGAAATAGTCATTGTGATTCGCCATCTTAAGAGCTCAAAGTAAGTTTTCCGATATAAATTGATCCAGGCAAACCCCAGTCTGACCACTGATTGATGAATGTTTATTTAAAATAAAATCTAGCGCATGATTTGTTAGAAATTCAGAATAGAAAGACAAGACAACAACATAACACAAGACTTCTTTCACATTCTTTTTTCACATTCCTCCTATTTTTCTGTCTTACTCCTAGGAACGGGATCTGGTCTTGGTACATTTCTTCTAAGGATACTTGAAGATGAATTTCCAGAAGTTTATAGATTCGTTACCTCAGTTTATCCATCTCGTGAGGATGATGTTGTTACCTCTCCCTATAACAGCGTATTGGCTATGAAGGAACTCAGTGATCATGCTGACTGTGTCCTGCCAATTGAAAATGAAGTAAGAATCCATAGTCTTGTGGACATGTTACCATGTTTCCCTGAAAATAAGTCCTATCCCGAAAATAAAACTCAGTACTTTTTTTGGTACTTGCTAAAATATAAGACCTACCCCGAAACTAGGATCTAGCTGTGTTTATTCCCAGGGTCAGTGGGGAACATAAAGAGCCTTTTTAAACTTTATTTGTTAACTTAACTTTAACTTAATGCACTGTGTGGAGGACAGGTGCTTATGCAGCTCTGCTCCCTCTATGCTTCCTCTGTAGCGCCGGCTCCTGTCACAGGCAGAGTGATACCAAATGTACACATATTCATGCTGTTGTACATGAATAAGTGTGGATTGTTGTACACATTAAAAATAAAATAAAAAATAAATAAAATAAAAATAATCTTAAATATTACCCCAAAAATAAGACGTAGTGTGTTTTTGTGAGCCAAAAATATATAAGACAATGTCTTATTTTTGGGGTAATATTTAAGATTATGATATATTTGTTATCAAGATTTTCTTGATCAGTTGCAGTTAAACTGTTACATTTAAACTCAACAGTAAAGAGAGCTTTGTATCATTTTAGTAAAAGCAAAAGCTTAAGTCTTGAATCAAGGGGTGTATCACAATTTAAAAGAAATAACTGTAGCTTTCATTGTTTAAAACATAGTCCCAAAGTGACCCACTTACCTTAACATTGATGGGGCAGGAGTATGTGATAGCATCTGCGTACAGAAGATGGGTGGTTTCTCAAGCAGAGAATTCAACTCTTCTCATGAGTAGGCAGGCAATAAAACTTATTAGACCCTAGTGAAAAATCAAGGATGTGCTTTGAGTATATAACTCACTTCTGTTCCCCCATTATGGGACTTTACAGGTCTAGGCATTTTGAAATTCTCACATTAGTCCTTTATCTGTAATATTGTCATCCTACCAGAATCTTGTGCAGTATTGGAGCTACCTAAATCACTGGTCCAGATAGCAGATGTTCTTCTGTCATATCCTACTATTAGATCTGTCAAGTGTGCAAACATTAGTCATAAAAAGTAGAATATGTAACAGGGAAGCTACCATTTTTCTAGAAAGATACAACAGCCTATAGAGATTTGCCGGAACAATCCTTGACTAATCCTAGAATTTGCAGCATATCTAAAAAGATTGGTAAAAAAAGATAAATTGTTGCCAGGCCTTAGTTCTCCAAGTCTTGTGAAATGCACAACAATGCAAGTTTCCACCTGGTAGGAGTACAGATAGAAAGCAACTTAACACAATCTTTTAGTCATTTATACACAGAAACACATGAAGTGTTTCTTTTGACTAAGGGCTTTCCTGATGTTGAAACAAAAGCCATGAGGGAAAGGCACTGAATGCAGCAAATGAGTATAGGAAAAACATTTCTCAGAAGTGCCTAAATGTATTAGGGGTTGATGCATCACAAGAAACAAAACAAATTTCTTTCTTGGGGGCATTTTGGCAGCGTGCAAAAGTAAACTTAGTTCTCTTATTGTGTAATGGAAGAACTAAGGGTTTACTTTTCCAGACCGCCAGATATCCCAAAGAAAGAAACTTGTGCTCCAAAATACATTGACCCTTAATGTTTGCCTTTTCATCAGTCATTTTCAGTGAAGAAAATGGCAAAATGTTGTACCTATCCTAGTGCACATAGCCCATCTCTACTTAGTGGGTTGTGAGGAAAATAATATTGGCAGATTGCCTTACTGAATGTCATGGCCTTATTTGTGCTCACCCTTTGCCATTGTTAACAATTTCATAGGTTTGCTTAATCACATGAGAAACAATTCACACACCATTCAAAAAAGTATTTGGAAAAAAGAAACAAAACAAAATGCATGGAGTTGTATGTTTCATGTGTATTTTCCTATCTGTTTCTGCAAGGGAATCAGCCTTCTAAGTGGTGCAACTACATGAGCTCTGGTGAAACAAGTGGGCACTGAGTTTTTCTTTTATGCAGCATTTTTATAAGTGTTTAGATTTCAAATTTGTGGCACGCTTTGGATTTCCTTCTAGTTCAAAGATCAGGATATAAACATTTTAATAATGTATATCTGGGTAGATCAGCCTCTTGCACTCACAAAACATGATCACATAACATAAGAACTTTAGCTGGAAAGGCCCATGGAAGCCCTTAATGTCAGCTCCAGCACACAAACAGCAATTGGCTACAGTTGGAGCACTAGGACCAGGGATGATGGAAGTGAATAAAGGTCTTGGCAAGGTGCAGCAGAGAAGAGGCAAAGGTAAAGTCAGGACAAACAAGGGTCAGATACCCAGCAAGGCAATAAAGGGTCCAGAAGGCAAGGGTCACATACTGGTGGCATGGCAGATCCAGAGGAGAAGGCAAAGTAAAGAATGGGAAAAGATCAGATGCCTGGTAATGGTGCAGTAGGATGGCACCAGGACAAGTGGCGGTCAAGGCACAGTTGGAGATGTTGTAGAATTGGAGGCAGAAGCTCGTTCAGGATCACAAAGCAGCCACCATGAAGAAAAGCAGCGAACTCTGCCAAGTTCACTGTGGCAAACTTGGCAGGGTTGAGCAGCCTTTTATGGCACCTCCTGTGGCTTCCAGCTGGCTCCATGATCATAGTGGTTCTAACACCTGCAAACACCCAGATGCCTGATACTAGCCGTCAGTGTATTTATTTGCTTAAAGTTTTTGTATCCCGCCCTTCATGATGTCTCAGGGCAGCAACACAATAAATCAATATAAATATGGTATAGCATCACAAACAAATAAAATCCAAAGTAAAAACACAAATTCACATTTAAAATAATAGTAAAATAAAAAGGTTTTATTTATTTGCAAGGTAAAAAGGACCTCCTGTTCTATCAAGAAACCAGGAGAACTACACTGCTCTGGAGACAGAGACAACAGTGTGTGTGTTGAATGGTTAAACCACCTTAATCTTTAGTTTTATACAGCTATTTTTCTCGATTTGTGGGTCCTCTTGCAGGGCCAACAGCCAGGTCACCCTGTGCTGCTCAGGTATCCTGCCTGCCTGACAGCTGGAATTCCACAGAAAACACTGAAGCTCTTTCTCTCAGGCTCTTCTTTCTAATCCCTCAGAGAGGCACCTCAGATGTCTAGGGCAGTCCCTTCTCATTACAAGCTTTTGCCTCCCATCAGGCCAACTTGGGTAATGGCCTAAATTCAGTAACTTGCCTGGCTGTCGCCACCTCCTTTCTACACCCAGATTACCCTCAAAGGTGTGCATGTTCCTCATGTGCACATTAAGGATTGACAGTCAAAGAAATACAGTTTAGAGATGAAGACATAAGATATATTCAGTTGCTTACAGTCCACACTTTCTATCCTGCTCTCTGGATATTTTTGCTTTTCCTCCCCAGCCCAAAGCAGCTCTTCCACTCCCTGTCACAGCTCTCTGCCTTTTGCCCACATTCCAAGTGTGGTGATTGACTTTGCTCTCAGCAAGCAAGAGGCAGATCTCCACCTGCCCACCACAGTCGTACATGGAGTAAACCAATTGAAATGAGTTCATTTCATTGGGTTTGCTCATAGAATTAGTTTGGATCCAGGTTATTGCAGTTATGCCTGCGTTTTCTTAAATTTATTTGAAACAACCAAGAAAAACATTGAGGCTAATTTGTTAGTACACATTATAATCTATGGCAGTGGTTCCCAAACTTTTTAAGTCATGGAACCTTTCTGAAGACATTCTTCTCCCCACGGAACCCTAACTCTATCCCTGATAGAGGGTTCCCTTTTTTTTAAGTAAGCCTTGTGAACCCACAATGTTCTTCCTTCTTCATCTGCTCCTATTGTCTGAATGCTTTGCATAACATAGTCAGTGATGAAATAAAAAGAAAACATTTGAATATAACAAATTAATAAATGTGGTAATATCTGAAATGAATTCTTTCAATTATTCTCACTACACAGTAGAAATCTAGGAACCAAATGATGTAATGCATTTCCTTGTTTGCTGTTTGGATGCCAACTGACAATCAAATAGATGGCCTTGTGTTGTTTCATTTTAAATCCATTTTAATTTGATTTTTGAGATTTTTTGCAGAACCCTAGGGTTCTGCTGAACAAAGTTTGGGAACTGCTGATCTAGGGGAAAGCCCATTGTGTCTAAGTAGCTTGCACTAGACTGTGCAGTAAGCAGTTAATTTCTAGTGAATTATACAGAGTTAATTTGTATAATGAATTTCTGATCAGCTTTTTTATTCGTGTCTCCCTCTCAGTCTTTATTTGACATAGTTAGTAAAATTAATCAGATGACTAATTGTGGAAAGTTAGGATCAACTGTGAAGCAAACAAGCCCAATAACTTCAAGTGCGGGAGGAATACATCATTCTCATGAGAAACCCTTTGATACTATGAATAATATCGTGGCTAATTTACTGCTCAACTTGACCAGGTGAGCTTCTGAAAATTCTGACTAGAAAATAAGTTGCTAATACAATGAAGTATTTTATCTTCTTAATAGGATTATTACAAACTTTCCCCAATCCATCAGAGTCACTGATCCATTTGCAGGTACAAGATTTTGTCTATTTGGGGTAGGGGATACATTGAATTGGTGGGAACAATTTCAGTGGCATTATATACTCACTATTGGCAGCTGGGTAGTAGCGGGGTTTTAAAATGTCATGGTGGCAATAGCAAAAAGATAAATGAAAAAGAAACTGCTGTCCTGCCACCAGTGGGAAACATCCATTCTTCTTGCAAACTTTCACAAATATATTGCCTTTCCCATTTGTGTTGTTCATTTTGGCACACCACATACCAATTTGAGCCCCATGTTTTAAAACTTCAGGCTTACAGTTCACCCTAAATATATATATGTCCACGTGTATTCCCTAACCCCAACAAGAATAATCCTTTGCAGGATTTCCATCAGCCCTGGAACAAGGGATCTGTAACAATGCTTGGAATTAACAGAGGAGGAGAAACATTTCCCTTTTCTACCCTCCCAAGATGAACCACTTGGGTTATGCCTGGCGGTTACCTGAGTTCTTAATCAGTATGTACTTTAGCAAGGAAAAGGTTCTATAGGGTGCGAAAGGATATAAGTATTCCTTTCCTTCCACCATACTGATCCTTCCCATCTCTTAAAAAGGAAGAGATTTCTTGAGCATGATGGCATACATTACAGGCATTCCAAGATATATCAGTAGGTAGGGACTTGAATAAACCTTTTGCCTTTGCTGAAACCACATTTTATTTTTTACAGCTGTGCTCAACATATCATGCCTCTTGTAGCCCATTAAACATTTGATCTTATCAGGCTATGTTGGGGTGTTTGGTAATTTTGTTTTCAATTTACAGGTTTTTTTTCTTCTGCTAACTGGGGAATTTCCCTAAGCTTATAAAAAATGCTGCCTTTTCTTTGAATGATCCTGGTTTGTTGCCTGGCGCAAAACTGTCAAGTTTGTCCTTAGAAATTTGCCCATCTTTCAAATATTGTACTAAAATACTTCTCATATAGTGGAAGAAGAATAGATGTTTTCTGCTTTTCTAACATTTATATTGCCTACTATTTTTCATGATGAAAATGGAGCTCTGTCTCCCATCATGTAAGTACAGATTTCTGTTTCTTGATTAACATTTATACTGAAAGCTATATAAATATGCGACACTTCCCTTTTACACGTCATGATTTCATGGCCATATTCCTGTTCAACACCTCCAGCTACTCATACCTGGCATCTAGTAGTAGACAGTGACGTTTGGTGCAGTTGAGACATTGACGAAATCTCTCTATCCATCGCTCCCCAACTGCCTGTATGAATGCCTATTCACAGAGAAATCTGTGTATACCTTTCAGCTCTGCTAGGTTTGAAGGATCTCTTAATATGGATCTTAATGAAATCAGCATGAATTTGGTCCCATTTCCTCGACTTCATTATCTGGTTTCAAGCTTAACTCCTCTGTACACACTGGCTGATGTTAATGTGCCTTCTCGAAGGTAGGTAGCTTTGACTTTTTGAATCTTGCAGAATGATAGCCATGTTAAGCAGCAGCATGCTGAGGTTTTTTTTTTTTTTCCAGTAAAACTTGATAAGGCGTTAGGAACCAACCAGGCACAGTCCATGCCATTTCAGTGGACATTTTATGGTGGGAGTGAGGTTGAGTTACTTCTGAAACATTTTGCTGTATTATTTTGACAATTTTCAAGGAATGATAAATAAGTTTAAATCCATATGAGGTTATATCTTCATGGGCCAATCTTACGAATGTTTACACAGAAAAAGTTCACATAACTCCCAGCATCTTTCCAGGTAGCCGTTGCACCCTATGACACCCGTAGAGTAAGAAGCTTGTGTAGTAGGTTCTGCCTGTCAGGACATGTCTGCTGTGCCTCTGCCAGTAGGCCACTCTTTGGTGTCCCAGACCTAGGAATCACCAGCCACCATTACAACTGAGCAACAGCTATGCTCTTGTCTACAGATGAAATTGAATCTAATTAGGAATATCTATTTTTAAAAAAAGATAGAATTTCTTGCACTTGAATTATTCAAAGCTTCAGTTTGCTTTTCAAATGTTTGTTACTTCAGTCTAGTTCTCTTTGCCAGATACTCAGAAACCCTTTGGAAAATTGAGAATTGTTAACACTACTAAGTATTGCAACTACTAAGTATTGCAAGTACCCCTTTCTTTTGTCTCTTAGGTTAGACCAGATGTTTTCAGATGCTTTTAGCAAAGATCACCAACTGTTACAAGCTGACCCAAAGCATAGCTTGTACCTTGCCTGTGCCCTGCTGGTCAGAGGAAATGTACAGATTTCAGATCTTCGTAGAAACATTGAAAGGTTTGTGCACAACCTGTACTAGAATTGTGCATGCATGTATATAATTTATAATATATAATTTTTAGGTAGATGTTTTAAAAGCTACCTCAACTATGAGAATCCCCTTTTTCTCACATGCTATTTTATTGAGCATTTAATTTTGCAGAAGAATAAAATGTGAATTTAACTGCAATGAGTTGCTTGTTACTGAAATCACATGAAAGCATCACTAGGCACAAATGATCAAATCTGCTGTTAACATGCTTGCTTTACTTAGTGCTTTTTTCAATATTTATCATATCATTTCCAAATTTTGCCTTTGCAGGTTGAAACCCTCACTTCAGTTTGTCTCCTGGAATCAAGAAGGATGGAAAACCAGCTTATGTTCTGTACCTCCTGTAGGCCATTCTCACTCACTGTTGGCATTGGCAAATAACACGTGTGTGAAACCTACTTTCATAGAGCTCAAGGAAAGATTCGTTAGGCTGTACAAGAAGAAAGTAAGCCGGAGAATAAGTAGTATCCTAATGTTAACTAGTTCATTTATCCTTGTATAAAGTATGGTCAGTTTTTGAAAGTACTTTGTGTGAAGTGTATGAAAGGTGGATTTTTAAAAATCCATGGGATAGTCCATCCTTCCATGCATATAGTTGCATTCATGGAAAGAATCACAAAATGACTTGTCTTTTTCTGCTCCCTTCCCTTTTTGCTTCACCGGGAGCCAGCCATTTTTGTAACTCCAGACTTTTTAAACCTCTTTCAGACTCCAAGTGAAGCAAAGGGAGAAGTAGTATAGGGTATCCTCTTACTACAGACAAAACTGCAACCTCCTTTTAAATTGGAAGAAAATAGAATTAATTTGTTTGGCTTTTTTCCATAAACCATAGGACTAAAGTAACACTTAACTCTTGCAGGCTCATCTTCATCATTACCTACACATTGATGGCATGGAACAGAGCTGTTTCTCTGAAGCACTTTCGTCTTTGTCAGATTTAATAGAGGAATATAATCAGCTAGAAGCTGCCAGTTGTGGACCTACAGTAGACCCACCCCGACTTAAGATAGCAATGTAACACTTGAGGGGCTTGGTAGGGTTTTAAAGGTAAGACATCAGCAAATTATGCACATAAGTTCCACCCCATGTGGAACACAGTTACATATAATGGACTAAAATCGGGAAGGGGAAACAAAAAAAGCACTTTGGCTTGAATATGTTCTTTTAAAAAGAGCATTATAAATGTCATTCTCAAAGGATTGTGGAAGCTGGCTAAATTTCTCATGTATCATATTGCACATATGTTGGACTACATCTGTTGTCAAACCAGGAGGATATTACAGTATCCTCACAGGGCACCTCTCCTCCAATATTCTGTGATGTGCTTCTGTGTTAAGTACTGTGTTTGAAGATACTGTATATAGATTATTAAAACATATTTTGGATAATTTTGACCATATTTGTAAATAGTTTTAATAAATGACATTTTATTTTGCTTTCAAAATAAAATAAAATAAAATATATAGCTACATAGCTATATTGAATTGTTGTTTGTAGCATACCCAGTACTGCAACACAGCTGATTATCAGCTTCTCCATATTACCAGCTGCAGATTGAGAATCTAAAAAGTGTACTACCTCTAGCTAGAAATGCAAGGTATTTGTTACTGTATACGCAGTACATATTTCTGAAGCTTAAACACATTATGGAATTAAATTCAAATGCATTCTGATTAGGATCCAGACTTTTGTCCCTCTGTGAACTGTGAACAGAACAGCTTGCTTTCTTTTTCTCCCTTTCTTTCACTGAGGAAGTAGAGACTCCCCACTTGGAGAAAGGGGGCAGCATTGTGATTTCCAGAGCACTTTTGGATGAGGGGGGTACAGTGGGGAGGTGAAAGAGTAGAACTCTTATAAAAAATGCTTTACAAATATCATGGATTAATAATAAATATAATGCATTTTGATAACACGCAATCATGCTTTACAGGTCTTTCACAAACATTCCTCAATAAATGCCCTGTTACTGTGAAGCTGAGAAGATCCATGAATGTTAACTGGCTTAGGTGCACATAGGACTTGTGCAATACTTCTTTGCTAAAAAATCAGTTGAATGTTCTTTGAAAACCATAGTTTTCTGTGGAATATGGGTGTTCATTTCCCATATAACTAACCTATTTGCTACTTATTTGATCACCTTCCTTCCCCCCCAGTGCCATTTACATTTGTCTATAAAAGCCTTAGTTCAGAAAATATATCTCCAGGATTATTGCATGTCTTCTGACAAACACAAGATGTAATCCACATCATCTTCCACTTAAAGGTGCCTTCCTTAGGGCAGTCAAACTGTACTGTAATCATTATAGACTTATTAGGAGTGCAGCATCTCTTGTCCAGGCAGATACCGCAAAAGGTAGGCTTATATCTTTGCCTACTTGTGCAGCCGGAAAAGGCTAGTTTCTCTGCTTTGGCATGTTGAAATGTAGGCCGGCATGTTTTGCCTTTAGGGATCTGAAAATATAAAGAGGAAGTATCTTAATGTTACACTAAAAATGAAAGTTACTATTTTGTACACCGAAGTAGAAGCAGTACTTGGACCAAATGGTTAGTTGCTTTAACAGGAAAAACAATTTTAAAATCTAAAGGACCGTCTGCACCAGATATACCTACCTGCCCCCTTAGATCAGCTCAGGAGGTCCTACGAGAACCACCCCTCAGGGAGATGAGAGAGGTGGCATCTAAGCAAAGGGCCTTTTCTGCTGCTGCTCCCATCCCTGGAACTCCCTCCCTAGGGAAATTTGCCTGGCACCATCTCTATTTTCCTTTCAGAACCAGGCAAAGATCTTTTTAGGAATTTTTTTAACCTTTAGCCTGTATGTTATGGCCCTTTTTAATTGTTTTTATAGATGTTTAATTCATTGTTTTAATTGGTTTTTAATGTGTTTTACTCTGTTAGTATGTTTTGCATTGTTAAGCCACCTAGGAAGGGCACGGCAATTATAGGCGGCCTATAAATATATGTAAATAAATACATATATAAATACATATATTTTCTGATATGTTCAAGATGACACCACTTGAGAGAAGTGTTTGTAAGGATGGGACAGCTGAAGACTCTGGTATGTCAGCACCAACACTTAAGTTCTACCTGAAAGCATCTCTTCCTAAAATTATCAGAGGGAACTATGCTGAATTAGCAACCATGTTTACTCTGGCCTTGAAGGCTGCATAGGAAAATAACCATGGGTTTCTAAGGGTTGGGTTGTTATTCCTCCCTCCCAATCACAAATCCAGGGTAAACACTACTATTTCCAAATGCAGTTTTGAGGTAGTAATGGAATAGCCGCTCAGGCTGCCACAATCAGAAACCTTAATTTCTCTTGTGTTTGTGCAAATACATTTTCCATTGTTCTTTGGAAAATCCTATACAAGCAAAAATACCTGTGATAGTCCACAAAAAACCCTGCAGACTCTACAGTTAAGCAATGCCTTGATTAGAATCAATCAAAATGTCACAAATGTCAAAAACCTTTGTAACATGGTTTGTTCATAAGAAGGTTTGCCCAATGACTTGTATTTTTAGAAAGAGTTCTGAAAGCAAATACATTTTGCCTGAATAGGAAATAATATTCTACATTACAGTTTACCTTTAATGTCTTTGGAAATTTTTCTTGACATGGTTGAATAAAGCAGAGTCTCCTTTCCTTCTTCATTTCACACTTAGTATTTTCATTGGTCACTCTATCAGAAATACCAATACCGCAGGTATGAGAACATGGTGTCCATGGAGTTGCCTGAACCAGGCATTTCTTCTTCAAAACAAGTGGCAGGCTTCTGAAAGCTAGGAGATAGAGATGCATTACATTTGCGAATTAAAACCATTACACTATCCCAATTTGAACTCAGCAGTAAGCCAACCAAAATAAGTAATATAATTCAATAATTGAGTATTTCAGATTCTCCTCTTGGATTTCTTTGCACTTGAGTTACAAAATAAGGTTGAGATTTGTAGAACTGCAAGTTCCATTAAATCTTATAGCTATTTGATCCCCAAACATGCAAAAATTGGGATGTTTTACATCTTTGGTGGCAGGGGTGCATTGGTCTGTTCATAACTTTCATGTTTGCTGTGAAAGGCAACTGCATTCCTCTCTAGCTCTTAAAATACCCTTTGTACCTGTGTAAAAATGGATTATGGGCATCTAGGCCTACGTTCATCAATATACATGTGCTGAACTTAGTTCTGGATGAATTTGGTTTTCTTTAAGAAAATTAGAGTTGAAGGATGTTTTCTTCCTATGTTTCACTTCCAAATATTCAGAGTACTAATAGCTACATATATTAAACCTGTATTTTAAAATCTCCATGTAGCAAATCCTGATAGAAATCTAGAGGATGACTGGCCAGATTTAAATGTGCACAGCTTAGAGGACAGAGCTGAAATATGAGGGTACCTGGTAAGTAAGCAGCAGCTTTAAATCTCAGTGCAGGAAGCAAATTTAAAAACCTGGCACATATCTGAAATAAATAAAGCAAGGTTACAAAGCTGTGGATTTTATATAGAGATTTATATTTATTGAGCATAAAATAATTGCCTTGCTTTTATGATAGAGGTTCATTAACTAGGACAGTGCAGGAGGAAAGGAAGAAAGATAGTAAAATATTAAAATAAGGCTTGGTGTTTGGCAAGATACTGAAAAACAGCTTTAACATTTAATTGTGACACTTCATGCAAACCATGCACTAATAGCATAATGAATCATTAGCTGCTTGGATTATTATGGAAGTTTTCTGCATTTTCATAAAAAAGTTATTCTACAACTGTTTGTTTAGCCTTATCCATCTTCTGTCGACTTTTGCTATGCTTCAACCTAATAATTCAGAAAGTGACCCATTTCTAATGTACAATAGTGTCTTACAAAGGAATACCAAATGGCTACTTATGCTATATGCTGAAGTGTCAGTATGTCCTGAAAGCCTTCTTTCAAGTAATTTTTCTTGATCTCACTTGTTTGGTGGGTGTCCTTCTGACTATATTTACTAGATATCTAAACAAATCTGGTGGCAGATCTATATACTTAAAAGGGTTAGGGACTTTAATATTCCTAGAACAAAATAGAGATCTTATGAGGATTGATCACAGATATAATTATAATTTCTCTCTAGTAAATAAATGCAACAATGACTGCAGTAGAGAAAAGGGCTCTTCAGCAAAAGATACACTAAATGGGGATGCCAAACTAAAGTGGTTTAGCAGGATGCACTGTGGAGGTAGCAAGCACCTATTTCCAACCCAACAACAAGAACATTAGCTTCCAGTCCACAAGAAGAAGACACTGTAATCTCCCTTCCTTGGAATGACTCATAATGATTAAGTGCAGAAAGCATCATTCCAGTTTGCAAGTACAGGGAAGAGATTCCAGATACTTCATACCATATGAAATGAGTATACATATTTTCATTACTTGTGCCTCTGGTGAATTTGAAGTTTTAAAAGGTATCTGTTCCTCTCACACTGCTGATGTGCCTCAGAGACATAAAGCATTCCCCAGCCATCCCCACTCTGATGCTTTGTAGATATGCTGGACTACAATGTTGAACTACAAATTGCTAGGCTGGGCTGAGTTGGGTTGTTGGCAGTTTAATCCTACACGTTTGGAAGACACCAAGTTGTAGAAAACTGACATAAGCGTTTTAGTTTGTTAAGTGGAATGATATAAAATTTATCCCATGTGCATGCACAGGAAAGGGGTTGGTCTCCTTGACATAAAACTGAACTTGTCCAAGTTAAATGAATCTGCCTGCAAGGACTAGACATTTCTATTCACCTCCTGATAAAAGGGAAATGTTAGGTTTTCTCCTCTAAATAAGGAAGTGCTTTTTTTCTTTTTGAGAGTATGTCAGAAGGAAATACATGATCAATCTGTACTTGCACACCTGGCATTAACTTGTAACCTGTTGACTGCTGCTCCTTTTGCTCTCCTGAAACACATTTGGAATTGCCAGATTTATTTCTGTTCCTGAGTGTGGTACATTCATTATGTGTTGGTTTTGAGATGAATACTGGTGTACAGCCAATTGCACCATTCACACACAAACACTTATAAAGAGGAGAGGGTTGGAAAGCTTGGCCATTGATATAGTGTGCACCATTTAGCTCACAGCCTACTGCTATCATATCTGGAAAGAGAAAAGGAAAAAAATAAGTGAACTTGTACAAAACTCTGTAAGGCATTGTTTCCTACACAATTGTAAAATAAGTTACCACCCCAATGACATTGAATAGTAGTAATGCTTGGCATTTATGGGTCCTCAGAGTTCTCAAATCAATTAAGTTCTTTCTCATTTTTCTTTCTGCTAATTTTCTCAATTTTGTGACTACTAAAGGGTGAACAATGAAGAGTGCTTGCTATTTTCTGCTTATTACTTCAATATACCCACCTAACAGATATAGCAGAATCTAATGGAAGTGAAATTCTGGTCATTTCAGCAGTTATCTCTCTTCCCTAAAAGTCTTATCAAAAGGGCAATGCCACTGATACCTTTTGATTTTTTGTAAATCACCTTTCCACCAAAATAAGGCATTCAGGCAACTTATGCAATTATTTCTATCTTTAGAGGCCTGATTTTTAACTGTTGGTGAGTTCCAATTTAGAAGGATCCTTTAATCTCCAAAGTGTCAAAAGAAGAACAGGTGTGCATCGACACTTAGCAAATGTGTTATTCTTTCATTTCAGGTCTGTTTGGAGTTTTACATCTAGAGTAAAACTGGAGTCCCAGTCTGGCCCATTAGGTTTTGCCAAATGGTCCTGCCCCCTTCCATTGGTCCACCCCCTTTCCTCCAACCACCAGCTATTTGGGTGTTTCCCAGCTTTTGTGACTCTTTCTCCCATTCTGAAAAACAGAAAAGCCTCAACAAAGACTTATTTAGTGATAGCAAGAGCATTATGCTAATATATGGTGGTATTTTGGCACCATCCCCTTTGCCTTTGGCTGAACCCACCAATGGAATGCAGTCCCTGACAGCTTCTCCAAAACTGAATCCGGTCCTGGGGCTGAAAGCGATTCCTGGCCTGCTTTATTACATTGCATTTATATCCCATCTTTTATTCCACTTGTGAGGAACCCAAAGCAGCTTTTATCCTCACAACAGCAGCCACATGCATTAGACTGCGGTGAGAGTTTGACTCACCCCGTGAGCTTCACGGCCAAGCAGAGGCTAGACCCTGCATCCCCTTAGTACCAGTGCACACCTCGCCACACTGGCTGTTTACATCTTCATTAGAAGAAAATATTAAGAACTCAAGCAAAGGAAGTTGCTTATGGTGCTACGGGCCAAACTCCCCTTGCCTGCATCCCCACTATACATTTGATAGAAAATTCTAGCTGTGACATAACAAAAGTGATGACTTACATGCACACACTCCTCTTTCATACCTAGGCTTGTCTGCAGAGTAGTCACAGTATAGACCCTTGTGGGGATCACAGACTTCTGCTTCATTGCATGCTTCCCCTGACTGTTTGGCACACATCTTGCAACATTCGCAGCCATCCTTCACAAGGCTGACTCCAGGACGGCAGACGGGCACACGTGGACATTTGCAGGGCCAATGGCATAACGCTCTGTGTGGCTGCACCTCTCGGCTTTCTGCAGCTTTTCCACCAGGTGTTCCCTCCTGCTGCCTGTCACTTTGAACCCTGCAAGAAAACTTTCATATAGGCGGTCTTACCTGAGAGTTCAAAAACTTCAAAAAAAGTGAAGTTTTTTTAACTGCTGCTTTTATTAAGACTATTTCCTTTTATCACAAGAGGAAAATAAATAGGTAAATTACAATAATACACAACACAACATGTATTTTTCTAAGAGCTTACAGTTCATGAGACCCCACCCCCAGTTTCTGCCCCACCCCCATTTCTTAAATGAGACTGTTGGGGGCTTTACCAGCAGACTAGAGCTCCTAACCAGCAAGCCCTTTTTTCAGTGACATGCCCAATATTAACATACTTGTGTTACATCAGCGGTACAAAGATTCTGGAGTGTATTAAAAGTAATCATTGTTTTAATGTTTACACACATATGGCACCTTCCCACAATATAAGGGGAGCAATGTTAGAGTGCAGTCCTGCAACATTGACACAGATGGGTTGCCACTTAGATGTGATAGATGTGCCTGCTAGGTCTGAGGAAATCTCTCTCCATTCAGCCGTCTCCGGTATCCAAATGTTCTGGACTACAACTCCCATCAGCCCCAGCCAGCACACCCAATGGTTTGGGATGGTGGGGCCCATTTGAGGTCATCAGGTTGGGGAAGGTTTTCAGGTCTCTTAGCTCTGTGGCAAAGAAATGAACCATACCCTAGTCACTAGCCAAGTGGCAGCCATTGGCCCTGCTGAACCAGCTCTAACTCTTTTCCTTTGTGCCATACAGGTGGGTCAACCAACAGATGTTTTAATGATACACCTGGAGCCACACCTCTAACAGTAAGAGATTTGATGGCAACTGTAGAATATCTGTTCACAGCTCTCCAGGTCTGCAAGGCAGCCTTTGCATTCCTATTACGCGTATTAGTAGGCTATTATTGTATCATTATTTCTTTAATTTTGTTTTAATGTCCAACAGCTAAAGCTCTCCAGGTAGATTATATCCACCTACCATAAAATAGAATATAAAGTACAAATAACAGTAGAACATTAAAATTATACTACAAAATTTAAACCCAAATTGAAACTGATACAGTAGCTAATACAAATTACAAGGCCTGTTGGACAGATGATATACTGGAAAGAGCTGGTTAAATGCCCTGAGGATAGTCCTAACTTTGTGCTGGAAAGATTATAGACTTGGCATCAGCTGGGTCTCAGTAGAGAATTTGTTCCACAGTTGAGGGGGGTCTGCCACTGAAAAGGACACCCTCCTTGTTGCCACCAACCGATCCTCCCATGGAGGCGGCAATCAGAGTCAGGTCCTGGATCTAGACTGTAGTATCTGGGTAACTGCAGCTGGAAAACGCATTCTGTCAAGTAATGTTCAAGTAATTCTGTCAAGGCATTCTGTCAAGTTCGTTTGAATTGCACAGTGGGTGAATGCCTTAAAAACTGAAACAAAACACTTGAACTCTTTGTAAGGGCCAAATCAGACATGCTGTACAGTCTTTTCACAGGACCACCACATGACAAGTCCAGATGCAGAGATTCAGTGATGGAGTTGTGTTCTGATATGACAGAATCCTGTGAGAGGCAGTGTGTTCTCTTTTTTTGGTTCCTATCAGTCCACATAGTTAGCAGAAATTGACAGGTGAGATCTACTCATCATACAAAGAATGATCATTATCCTAGAGCAAAGAACCCTGCCTTTCCTAAGGATATCTTCCATGCTGCCTTGTCACCTGGATACACATTTAGAGTGGTGATACCCTCAACAAAATCACTGTTCAATCAGATGTGCTAAAGAAGGCGCTAGCTTCCTTGTGTGTCACCTGCGCTGAAGGTCAAAAGTAACATTATGTCCTGATCTAATCTGGCTCAATCCAGATCAGAATCCTAGCATGGGAGTAGGATGGGAGGATTTAAGATAAATTGGATGCATGTGCCTACTCTAGGGGTGGATAAACCTGTGCATTTTGCTTTTGTGTTCACTTGAAGTGTTTTAAGTTCTTTCTGTCTTGAATATGAAGAACTTTCTGATTTAATTCTGGGAAGTTCCTATCAGAATGAACAGAATGAGAATTCTTACCCATCTGTATCAAAGGCACATGATGTACCTGACTGATAAAGAGCTATTATTTTTTCCCATAAGCCTGATGGAAGAAAAAAGAAATGGCAATCCCAACATCTCAAAGAAATGTTGAGCATTAACATGTCTGACTACCCAAAGGATTCAAACTCAGCCTTTTCAGAACTAAGTACTCAGAGTTGTTCACTCGTATAGAAGAATCTGTTTCCGTTCCTCATACATTCTATTTAAAAATAAAAACTCGCATTATTTTTCTCCCAGGTATGGTGAACTCTGCAAAGTCTCACAAACCAAACTGAAAATTCTCACCTGTTCCTACTGTAAAGTAATAATGAAAAAATGATATACAATAATGTCTGTATTCACCCTTAGTGAAGAAAAAATGGTGTTAAAAGACTTTTCTTGCCTGTGATAACATTCACAGGTGCAGCCTCATTCCATTCATTCTAATGATACTGTTTTGGATCCCTTACGCAGTCCAGATACCTCAGTTGGTTCAGAATAGAGCTGCCAGGATATTAACAGGGACCAGCAGGTATTCACATATAACACCGGTCCTTTACTGCTTACACTGGCTGCCAATTGAAATATGGCCTCAATTTAAGGTGCTGGTGATGACCTATAAAGCCCTAAACAGCTTGGGTCCTGAAGGAGCACCTCCTTCCCTATATGGCCTCCTGGCCCTTGAGATCTGGGGCGGGGGTCCTTCTTCGGGAGCCCTCCTTGAATGAGATCAGGAGGGTGGCTACTTGGAGGAGGGCCTTCTCTGTGGTGGCACCCCAATTCTGGAATACACTCCCCAGAGAGATTTGCCTGGCACTGACACTTTTTTCAGCACCAGGTGAAAACCTTTTTATTTCCCCACTATTTTAATGTCTAATAGTTTTTAATGTGGTTTTATAATATTGGACTATTGGATGCTGTGCTCTATTTATCTGTTGCTTTTTTGTAAACCATCCCAAGATGCCAGTAAATGGACATCCCAAAACTACCCAAGAATTGCTCAAAAGTTGATGATCTGGTGGCAAAGGAGGCATTTGAGAACTAGACACATAGGGGATCTAGAACAGTTTCAGAAACACCCTCAATATATCAATGACAGAAAAGAAAATGAAGTCCTGGAGGAAAGGATATATTTTTAAAATGGTGTTTGCCTTTTAAGCGGTTTGGCATTCCTATAAAAGAAGTTTTAGAAATCTTTCAAGGAAACGTGTTGTATCCCAGTTGTCCAAAGCCTGCTGAACACCCCGCCTCACCATGATGTTAGACTACAACTGCCTGCTTTCCTGTCACTGGCCATCCTGCCTGAGAATGCTAGGAATCCCAACCCAACACATATGGAGGTCACCAGACTGGGTAAGGTTGCTATATACATAAGGGAGGTCATTTTCTCCAACTCTAATCCCACAATACCAAACTTCTGAAACTTCTAAAAAGAGCAGAACATTTCCTTTTCAATAAGCTATCTGTTAAGCATGCTGGAAACAAGCCCAATGGTGCTAATACTGAACTTATTGCTAATTCGTTTTAATTAATTTATTGCTTATAACCATTTTTTCCTTCCCAGGAAAAACCCAAAGCAAGCATAAATAGAAAAAAAATAAACCTAATACAAAATTTCAGAATGATAATCTAACAAAACACACAACAGACCAACAAAAGACACATTCATTTCAAAATAGTGACCAACAATATAATGCATCTGTTAAATCCTAAGAATTAATTTAGTAACCAGGGAGGATCAGAACAGTGCAGACTGGGTGGTCTCCGACCGCCACACATTCAAGCTGCTGTGTGAGAACAGGCCTACACAGGTATACCCCAACATGCACAGCTTTCCTCTCCATGATCGCTATCCTGAAAAGCAGCAAATGTTGATCATGCATGAGAAGCCAAGAAACAATCACATGTATGCCCATAGGCCTGGTGTAAATAAGAACTTGCACAATGTCAGGGCCAGTGGGCACAAGCCCAAGACCCTCTTCATGTGTTTACTTACACATTAACAGTGCAATCCTGTCTACATTTACTCAGTAAGTCTCAGAAAGTTCATTGAAACTTACATCCCAGTTAAAGGATGTTTACAAATGCAGTAGCTTCAGACTGCACTATTCCACCCCAAAAATTAGCAACCTGGAGTCTTCCAAATTTTGTTGCCTTCAGCCCAGCAAGCATAGTTGTTGGTCAGGGATGATGAGAGATGTAGTCATCAATATCCAAAAGGCACTGGGTTGTCTATTTTGCTGTACACTTTCACTTAGAAGTAAGCCCTGATGAACTCAATGATTCTTACTTCTGATTATACAAGTAAAGTATTGGCCTGTAAATTATCTTTTGTATAACAATTTCATCTCTCCCACTCCATCTGTTATCAAACCCATATGTCATCTTTTCCCAAGGCTGTTTCCATGCTTTCTACCATTTCTTCAAGCCTAGCACACTGCATTTGTGAAGTCACTTCCGTTTCCCACTGTCATAGGTTTGCCCAGTCGGTAAACATTCTGTGACTGTATCTTACCATACAATCCTATGAATTAATTTACTCAGAAATAAGTTCTACCACAGCCTCCACCAACCTGGTGCCTTCCAGATGTTTTGG